CTCAGAGTGGTCAATCTGACCAGATGAGCGGGATATAAATCAAATAAATAATAATAATAATAATAAATAATAATATTTTCTCCTGAAATCTGATTATCACCTATGTGTCTGGCATGAAATATATTATTAATTCATTAAAGACTATAAATGTAGACAGTAATTGTGGATCCAAAAGAACTGTGAGTTATTAGGGAATATATGAATGATATTTGTTTCTGTTTTATGTGCTAGTGGAACACTTACTGTGAAGCAGACCCACAATGTACTAGTGGCTGTATTCCATTATGGGGCACAATAAGTGGAAAATATACTGATCATAGCATTTAATATCTAGAAACAGTTGAAAAGTTTTGAGAATGAGTTTATCTGAATAGGAGAACTTCTCAGGATTTGGGATTATTTTTTGTGGTCTTCTAGGTTGCAATGGCCTGTTCATGAATAGAGCTGTCTGCTAATAGAAGGACATTTTTGGATCTAACCTGTTATCTGTTTTTTTTAAAATTTCTTTAGAGTGTTGGAAGAGGGATGCTGTACAGAGACAGGATGTGCTTAAATTCTGTAGGTGCAACTGGAGAATATGCTTTCATGGATGGGAAACCTCATATTTTTAAAAAGCTGTGTTTTCATGGTGTATATTTTTTCTATGATCTTACACACTACAGACAGGCATATTTCTTTTTTCTCCCTATCCACAGTGTGATCCAAAGCAAAAGGGGATGTGTCTCTGCAAGCCATTTTGGAGCAAAATCTGATTATTTTGCCAGAAGAAAAGTAGCATACCTAGTTACATAAAAAAAAACTTTGCATGTCTGCTCAGGGATAAGTGTCCCTGAATTCAGTAGGTATATACTCTCAGTTGCATGCATGCTACCTTCTCAGTGATTATGCCAAACAAGAAGAGTGTACATCAACAGTCAGCATTACCTAGGTTTTCTGAAATGTCTGTAAGAGACTGATTGAACCCTGAACGTTGGGAATGTCAACAGGAAATGTCAACAGCATTGGGGAAGCAGAGGTTAGGTTGCACTGGGGAGTGGGCAAATATCCTGGGCAGCAATGGCAGGCAGACTGGAGGAGCAGATAGCATATGGTGGGTGGGAACTGTGCCAGCCACATGGGGCACGGCACAGTTAAGTGAATGAGCACAATCTTGGAGTAGCAGTTGGAAGAATAAAAGAGGCAAAAGGAAAGGGCAACAAACTGAAGAATGATATGCCTAGTGCTCTGTGATCAGAGTATGCCATTCTCTCTTACTTAAATGGGACTTTGACAAAGCCCAGCAATGGTAGGTTGACCTTAAGGAAAATGTGTTTTTTTCCCTACAGATCCAGGTTCTAGACAAGGGCCGTGTGAACTGATAATGTTCCCTGCCTGAGAGGGAACACACTAGTTGGCAGGCAAGACAGTAGTCTCACTGCCACCTTGGGTAGATACCTTCCGTGGTGCATTTGATTAATTGATTTAAATCATGCTTTAAATGAACAAAAATGATTTTTCATTATTTAAATAAAAATTATTTTTTAAAATTTAAATCATTATTTAAATTGGGATTTAAATCAATTTGATTTTTAAAAAATCATTGATTTTTTTACCCACCCTGATATCTCCAAATAGGCTGTTCCTCAGCGTAGTGAGACAATGAATGTGTCTCTTTTCACTTGCAGGTCTCCTGCATATATGTCTCTGCTTCTGCCTCTCCATGTCCTTCCTCTGGGGTGGTGTCTCCAGAGGACAGGACCCTGCCATGCTTGTCAAGACAGTGTCCCAGAAAGCTTGCCCTGTTGTTGCAGGGGTTAGAGACTTGAACTCCAGAAAACAACTGCTAGTACAGTACTGCTGTTTAGGGTGCTATGACCATTGCTAGTTTCTTCCTGCTCTGTGTGGCCCTTCACTGCTGACCGGATCTTCACTAGATGCTGCTGCATTAGCATGGAAAGTTGGCTGGCATTGGCCACCACCCTTGCAGCAGCTTAATATCCATTACTTGGTGTTTAACTTGGGTGTCCAAGAGAGTTGCTACAGCATACCTCTTCCACAAGGAGGAAGACCTGTATTAAAGCAGGTCTTTTAGTTTGCTAGCTGGGGCCACCACTTCAGGCCAGAAAAAAAAAATCCTGTTTTTCTTCTTTGGAATCCTCCATCCACATAGACTATCCCCTCATTATCCCCTCACACCTTGCCAAACAAGCCCAGGAAGATTGGGATCACATGGCTAAGGATGGCTATCTTACCACTAAGGACCTGTGTTGCTCTTTCAAACTTTCAGACGGCATAGACCCCTTGTCCCATAATATCCCACTCTTCTTTGCCCAGAGAAGGAGTCATACCAGTGAAAGTCTCCAAATCATGGAATACCCTTTGCTGCTCCATCACTTTTTCAAGCAGGTCAAAAGTGGAGTTCTACTGAGTTGCCACATCCTGGATTGTGTGGTGTAGTGGCAATCCCAGGTGTTGTTGTTGTTGTTGCTGCTGCTGCTGCTGCTGCTGCTGTTGCTGTTGCTGTTGCAACAGCAGAAGAAAGGATTCCAAGAGAAGAGAAGAAAGGATTCCAAGAATTTTCCCCTAACTTCTCTTTCACAATCCCACCGATGGCTCACAAGTTTTCTACCTTGGTTCTTAGTCCAAGTGTTGATTCTTTGGGCAGCAACACTTGCAACAATGGCACTGGCTCCTGTTTCCATCACTCTCGGCCCTCTTGCATTCCCCAGTGTTCTCCGAAGCCTTCATATCTGTCCCCTGTCTTTGTTTGTGTTGGAGGGGGATTTTCCCAGGTCTCATTGGTTCTCCTTTGTTGCGTCTCCCTATGCCAAGGCTTGTTTTCTCTCTCTTCTCTCACTGTCCCCAATATGAGGGCTTCCTGGGGATTTTCTCTCATCGTCTCTCTACTTCTTCCCTGGGCACCATTAACTCCTCCCATGCTCCTGTCCATGGATTGTCCTACTCAGACCATTCCCAACCATATGGTAGAATTTTTTTTCTGCCTTTGTCTCACTCTCAGTCCACCCTCTCTCCCCTGCCTCCTCTCTTCTTGTTCCTTATTTATATACTTCCTCATTCTTACCCCTTCCCCTTCTCTTTTCCTCTCCTTTCCCCACTGGTTCCTTTGAGCCCACGCTGTCAGTTTTTTTCTCTGCATTTTCTTTCTCCCTGCCCCCAAGTCTTGGGGCTTGACTTTCTGAGTCACCTTCCCTTTTCCAGGATAGAGGGGATGACATATGGGTGGGAAGTGGCTTCCTCTTACTGCCTTTCTCACCCCCACTCAATTATATTAGGTATGCATGTATCTTCCCCAGATTATTATGCTGAGAGAGTGGACTCCTTTCATCTTCCCAGCTGCCGTGCTGCAACCATATTTGCCACACTGCGACAAACAGTGCTTTTGTTTTTCACTAGCTAGACTCCACTGCTGCAGAGTGTTCCTCAGAGCCTCTTGAATGTTGCGAGCTCTATGGCTGCCCTCCCTCACAGCCATATTCAACAGGGCCCATCTATATTCTGCCCACGATGTTTAACTCATGCTTGATGCCTCCATCTGCCTCCAGCATCCTGTCAGGGAGAGATAGGCATGTGTTGCGCCTTGGCTGTTCTAGATGTCACTTGTACAATGTTCCACCTGAACTATGGCCAACTGTTACTGTACCAGTTGCCTGACAGCCCAATATAAATCTGGCACTACACTGTAGCTAAGGGTTATTTGGGATGGCAATTGGTAATGGAGTACCAGCTGCAAACCTGTGGAGACAAGTGTTCTTCAACAAAGAGAATGGCTGGTCATCCAGGGTGATTATCTCTCCTAGGTAATGAGTAATTACATTTGCAGAAGGCCTTTTCCTGCACTCCTTCAAGCTCCTCTGGGATAGCCTGTAACTTATTCCTGAGATGTGGATCTGTCATTTGCTGCCTTGCATTATTTGCCCATTGACCTCCCTTTCTTCCTTTCTGGTGGCTCAACATCTGTCCTCTGATGACTTCTGCCCTTCAGGATGCGTTTCCCTCCCCCCCCATGGTACCCACTTTATTTGCCAGCAGCAATGCCCTGTACTGTGTCGCTGAGCATGCTACTATTGAGAAGTGGCTCAGGTCCTACCTATGCTTGAGCATTTCATGCACTAAACTATGTGAATATCTCTTGCATATTGTTGAAAATGCTTCCAGGTTATTGATTCCTTGGGAGCTCAAGGTTTTGACTGCATGTTCCTAACAAGAATTGCTAATCTGTCATTGTTAACTAATTCTAACTACAGTACTGGTGCAGCTAGAGGGGCAGGGGTGATTTCAATGTCACATGCTTCTGAAATATTGCCCACCTGAGCCCCCTCAGTCTTGTCTTCCCCCATTATATATGTACTTAAAGTGGAGTTTCTGCCAACCACAGTGCTGCTTTGCACAGAAGAGATTTGCCGGGAATGGGGGCTAGAGGTAAACTCGTCTTTGAATATGATAGAGCTGCATAGCATGGATATGGAAAACAGTGTTTGGTGTTCTTCTTATATGTCTTTTCCAACCACAAAAGTAGTAGCACTGCTGCTACCCAAGCTGACAGTGTCAATCTGAATGTTGAAACCATCTTTGTCCTTCTCTGGCACATCAGCTCTTGGGGAGAAAAATGCCTTCTTCACCATCTGTTTTGCCCCCTTGCCTTGGCTGGATAGCACAAAGATCTCCCATGTCTGAAGTTCAGTGCTATCTGTCCTGCCTTGAACCAAACGTTTCTCTGCCACCTCCTTGGCAGAGACCGCCCCCCCCCATACTGCTGCACATTGCTCTTTTATAGTGCCATTGCTCAACAAGGTAGCTGGGGGACCGAACCCTAATTTCTGAAACAAAATATCTGTAAGTTATTGTGAGTTTTTCTTCCCTTAGCTTGTGAATGCCTAGTAAAATTAGATTAATTAAAATGAAATTAATTAACAAATTAATAATGCGTTTAGAAGAAGAAATGAACTTTTAAAGTCAGTTGCAAGTTACTAATTGTTGACTATTTCAATTTTTTTCATTAGCAAGCTAAAAAAGCTAAGTGAAGACAGCTTGACTAAGCAGCCCGAAGAAGTTTTTGATGTCTTGGAGAAGCTTGGTGAAGGGTATGTACAACTCTGTCTGTACTGGGAGGGTGAAGTGATTGTGAAGACTCTGTTAAATATCATACAAACATGGACAAAAGGAACATAATTGAACAAAAGTTGAAACATAGATGAACCTTGTATTCGAAAAGGGTTCCAACTGGGCTATTATGGAGGTATAAGCCCTATAGTCTTAGAAGGTCTTAGACCCTGTAAAGAAATTCCAGGAGAATTCCTGAAAAATTCTGAGGGTTGCAGCCCCAAAATACAAAAGAATACATCTCTGTTGATAACCTGACCATCAATAATACCATAATTTGGATGAGGAAGTGCTCTTCTAAAGATGTTTCTACAGTCCTAAATGGAAAGCGTTGGCAAGAGTACATTATTGTACTCTTTGTAATATTTTTGTACCTGATATCTTTTATCTTGTCATGTATTATTCTAAGAAAACTTCATATTAACACCTGTTACACTATCACTATCACTATCACTATCAGTTTTTTGCATTTTCCACTTTGCATAATGTAATAAAGATTTCCACCAACTTTTAGGAATTTAATTCCTTTAATTGAGAGAAAGGTGGCATACAATTAAAAATACAGTGGGGTCTTGACTTGAGAACTTAATCCGTATTGGAAGGCGGTTCTCAAGTCAAAAAGTCTGTAGGTCAAGTCTCCATTGACCTACAGTTCATTGAAAACCGATTAATCCCGTAACAGGCCGTTTTTGTTCCATTTTGGTTTTTTTCTGGTCTGTAAGTCAATTCTCAGGCTGCAAGTCAAACCTAAATTTTGTGGCCAGAGAAGTCTGTAACTCGAAAAGTCTGTAAGTCAAGCCGTCTGTAAGTCAAGGGTCCACTGTAGTAAATAAAAAGATAAATGATTCCTGTTCTGCAAAACTGAATGGAAATCAAAGGTCTCATGGAACTAGAATGTCCTAAACATAAGAAAGAATATTGAAATATTACGATGCATTATTCACATTTCATAGAATTTTTTTTTCCATTTGGAAGAGTACGGATTTACCAAAATCAGTTTCTCCAATTATAAAGGCTACTAGATTTCTATATTTTAAATTCAAAATTATGCCCTCATCCCATTACTTTCCCCTCCTGTAGAGTTCTAGTTGTATGTATGCCCTTAAGGTCAAGTTCTGTTGTAGATAGAACATCTCCATATTTAACCTGCATCTTTACTAGTGGAATTAGCAACAGGAATCTTTTTATATTTGCCACTACACCAGATTAATTGGTAGAATGTACTGAGAAATTACAATTGTAGTTAATAGAGTTTGCAGTTGCCCTAGAGCAGTGGTTCCCAACCTTGGATGTTCTTGGACTAAAATTCCCAGAAGCCTTAACCACTAGCTGTGTTGGTCAGGATTTCTGGAAGTTGTAGTCCAAGAGCATCTGGGAACCCAGGGTTGTGAGCTACTGCCTAGGGTATTGTTCCAAGTCATCCATGAGTAATTCCATGAAGGAGCTTCATGCAGAATTGGTAGGATTATACTCTGCCCATCCTCTCAAAATAACCAAGCGGTGTCCCTTTTTGGCTTCAGTAATTAAAAATTCCCTTCTATTTCAAGTTGTACTGTAGTAGCGTGGATCCTCAAGGACACTCAAAAGAAGCTTCGTGGTTGAAGCTCTGAAGAGAATTTTTTAAAAATGCAGGGCCACTTGTCCCAAAAGAAATAAAATAAACGTTAGAATCCTGTATATGTTTAAGGATTTGCTTTATGAAAGTGTTAAGCAGGGGCTTCCTGTTTTAAAGGCTAGTGAAAATAAAACATATACAACTAGAAAATACATATCAATTTCTCATAAATGTTATAACCCACTAAAATAAATATAGTTATGAGCAATCTCTTGTGACACCTATTGGACGCATGCATATTTGCTCCTGTGCTGAAGGCAGAGTCCTGAGTTTTCTGGGAGATTTGATGTAGCATATACTTATTACTCATTTTAGCAATTAACCTAATGCAATTACAAATTAATGACCAGACACAAGGGCACATATCCAAACATGTGTACTGTAGAATGTGTGTTCTTCCAACTTGCTGAACAGTCCTTGAGTCTTTTGAATAGTACATGATGAGCACAAGTACGTATGTATATGTGAACAGTTTGGCCATTTTTATAAGAATTTATTGATGTATTCTCAAAGTTTATTGATGCTTTAATTTTAATTGCTGAGACAAAAAGTGAATCTCCCAACTAATAAGTAATACTTTGCCAATGTAGATGTTATCTGGCCTTCTCAGTTGGTGTGGTAGTGATTAGATAACAGCAACATCTCATATTTGGAATTTTGCTGAGATTGCTTTATCTAGTGGCTGAATAATGATAAAAGCTTTTACTGTCCTTGTAAAGGCAGCTAACCTAACAATGGAAACACTGTAAATTGGGGTGGGCAACTGTGTTCTTTCAGATGTTGTTGAGCATAGCTCCTTGCTGTTGCCTTTGCTGGATAGAACTGATGAGAGTTGTAGTTCAGCAGGGAAAGTTCACACTTGTCCACCCCTGCTGTAAAGTATGGAAAGAGGATGTACTGTATACCTGTGGATAGAAATGGTGAGCCACATTTGACTCTGAAACATGTCCCATTTTTGCAGACAGGTATGATTCTACATTTCATACTTTATGGTACTGTAGCAAATACTTAGGTCCAAGTAATAACTTTAGTTGTGTTGGATAAACTGTTCTAATGAATGGTTTGATTTAATGTATAAGTTTTATTATTAAAAGTCTAAATCAGCACTATGTTCTTTCATAGGTCTTATGGCAGTGTGTTTAAAGCCATTCATAAGGAATCTGGGCAAGTAGTGGCAATCAAGCAAGTCCCTGTTGAATCTGATCTACAGGAAATAATTAAAGAAATTTCAATAATGCAACAGTGTGACAGGTATTGATTACATTTATTGTGAGAATTGTGCCATCTTTTTAAAAAAGTAACCATTTTTACTTGATAATGTTTGGTTATTTGGGAAAACTGAGGTTGAAATAATCTTTAAAATGTTCAGTTTAGTTATGAAAAATTTAAATTTTGGGCTTTGTTTTTATATAGATTTTTTTTCTCCTGCTTACTCACTGTAACAGCTGGATGGTTGAGGAAGTATAGGGGGCTGATAGAGGTAACCATAGTGGATGTAACTTTTGTTGTTCCTTTGAGGTATTTACATACCTTGGTGCTGTTTATGTGTGAGGACCTAATTTCATTAATGTCTCAAGTTCATTTTAAGTACTGTTTGATACCTGTTATGATTGAGGTTAGTTACAAGATAAATACTGCTCTGAAATGACTGTTGGAGGCAGCATGTATGATAAAGCGCTATTGTTCTATAGAATATTGTCTCGTAGAGCATACCTGATAATGTAGAAATACATATATGCTTTTCAGGAAGCTTGTCCATGAGATAGCTTGCATGAGGTCCCAAACTCCTTTCCGTTTCCCATTGCCAGCTATTTATAGGCTGAAATCATGTTGCACAGCTCTGCATGTGCAATAGGAATGAAGTTATCATTTTTTAATGAAACACCACTGATTAAGAGTTCTTTCTCAGGCTTTTGGCAATTTCAGGGTGCATGCAACTCTTACACAGTGCAGTGAAGTTGTATGTATCCTAAAATCATCAAAGGAAGCCTTTAATCAGTGGTGATTTACAACTGCTGATGTAATCGTTTACTTCGTGCATATGAAGCTGCACAACAGTAGCATCCCATTCATGATCTTTGCTGAGTGAGCAGTGGCACGTGGATTTTGTTCTTTTTTTGATTGCAGATGTGCCATTGAACGGACAGTGGCAGATGGATTTCCCCTGACCAATAAGCTGGAACTGTTGCTCAAGTTATTAGAGGTTTGCTCATGAGCAGAGTTTTGGCTGCAGTACTGCAGTTTAACCACTGGACCACAATATACTCTGCTTCAAATAAGTGTTTATGGTCTGTTTCAATTGTATGTTTTTAGCCCAATATAACATGCTGGAGGTAGATCAAAACTTTGTTTAAGATATTTAAAACACTTGTATTTCTGCTCCTTTGCTTTAGGAAAAGAAAAAGAGCTTCAGTATCAAAATATGAAAGCTCGTTATAGCACAGATTGGTGTGTACAATGTTTGTGTGTGTGTGTGTGTGTGTGTGTGTGTGTGTGTGCAGTAGGGAGAGGAGCCTTTATAAGTATTTCTTGACATTGTTTCTAGTGAGAGTTAGACAGTGTAGCAGAAGGGATTAAACAGGATTTCTTCCATGCCAAAGGTTGATAGTGATGGGTAAGTGTTGAACAAGGATAAGGGTGTGTCCTTAGTAAAATATTGGTGAATCACTCCCTTGTAAAATATTTGCAGGAAGAAAAATTCCCTTTCTTTTGAGGCATGTTTTATATCAGTGATCATCTTTATGGACAAACTAAAAATGTCTCAAAACACACAGTAGTTAAAGTAAGACTAACAGAACCTGAATTATAGGATTGCAAGAATACTACTTGGCTCTAAATATTAAAGTATTGTATATACTTCGGCTGGCTTTTAATCGTTGTTTTTATTGCAGCTTGTTAATCTTTAATGTAAGGTCTTCAGAATTTGTTGTGGAGATTGTCCTAAAATATGGTATCCTAGGAATAGTACAATTGTAAAGAGCAAGGTTTAAAGTCTATATATCACTGATAAGGATGAAATGAATTTTATGATACATTTATTCAGGTGGGAGTTGGGTGCTCATTGTGCAGTGTCTCAGATGTGCTGTTGACATTAGTATACCATAGTAGTAGTAGTAGTGCTTAACTCGGTAGTGGGAGAATAATAATAATAAAAAAAGGACTAAGACTTGAAGGGAGACAGAATTCCCTGACTTAGGCAGAAAGGGAGCCTTTAATCTTTATTGTCTTTAGACCACCCGTGCCATCATCCAGTACTTAGGTTGTCTCTTTTTCTTTATGCACATATAATTGCAGGAGATATAATCAACACATTACAGTGCTGTCTCAAGTAGTCAAATAAATCCGTTAGGGATTATTTTAGACATAGTTCCCTCAGTCAGATGACAGTGAACAGTGCTGAATACTGAGTGAGTTCCTTGCTGTTTGGGAGCTATGATTAAATGGGGAGTTTGTTATGTGAGATTCCCCTGAACTTACAGGTATTGTGCCAATAAAATGGTTTCACTGTTGACCAAGAGTTGCGACATTTTGTTTCTTCAAAAAAATACCTTAAAATGGCCAAAGGCTTTGTGCCATGCTACTTGAACATCTGATTTGATAGTTCTTTCTCAAAGCACTAGGTATGTTCATTAGGAATTCTTAGTGTTTTATCTTCTCTTTGATGTACTCATGTACTCATTCTAAACGATTGATCACATGCAGGATTCAAGTCTTAGAGCCTTTTCTGTGTTAGATTCAAGCATCACAGCCATAGACCAATTTTTATTTCCCATGTTGAATCTCAGAAAAATGTCTTTTTAGTCAAATAGCTATTGGATATAATAACAGCACCAAAATAACTTAATAGAAATAACAAAGAGTATTTCCGGAATTTTTTTTCTTGTACCATTACATATGATTTTCAGTTGCTGCAATTGTAGGCTTCAGGATTCATAATATATGTTCTGATTTCAGCCTTTTAGTCCCTAAAATAACAAATGTTTGTTGGTCTCTAGAAATAAAATTATTATCATTAGAAGACCAGATATTTCTAGCATCTGGGACCTGACATTCATCACAATATTTAAACACTTAGCATGATTGAAGGCAAAAGTGTTGTTCTCTTTTAAAAAATGCAGACTGTTTCTGAATGGGGTGTAATATTCTGTCCTTTGCATGTTTGTAAAAATTATAGTAAAAAGCACAGATGCTGTGGTTTCTACAACTTCAGTGCCCCATATGAACATAGGTATTTAGTTACAGAATATACCTTGAAAGTATCCTTCCAACATCAAAGAGGACATTGATCCTTATTAAAAACAATGGTCTCCTCTTCTACTCCTACTCCTCCTACTACATTGCCATCATCATGTGCTATCTAGTCTGATTTATGTCAGAATTATCTAGGAATAAGGTACAGTACTCAGAACTGGTTTACTAGTCTCTCCTTATGGTTGTTCTCTGTGATCATGCATCTTGCCCAAAGCTACACATGTGGCAGGGGAGGTAACAATATTAACAAAACGTGTTCCAGGCGATCCTGGCTGATCTCTCCCCCAGGAGATGTAGTGGGGATTCAAACTCCTGGACCTTGGTTCTGCAGTTTGGCACACCAACCTCTGAGCGAAGGGCACTTAGGGAGTGCATTCATTAATAAATTTTTTTAAAAATCGTGGTGCTGTGGAATTAATAAATTCATTTCTTGGTTAAGAGACTAAGGTAAATATCGAACAATAAGGGGGCTAACAAACTTATCTGACTGAATAAGGGAATAATAATGGTTAAGTGACTTCCAGAGCCACTTTTGACTTGGACAGTGGTCTTATAAGTGAACTTGTCAGAAAAAAACAGTGAGAGCTTGATAGATAAACTTTGCAGCTTTCTCCACAGGATTTCTCATGAGGTAGAATCAAGTGCCAATTCAAAACTGATAAAAACCACAATGAATTTCCATGCAGATGAATTGGAATATTTTTCAGCCCTAAGAGAGGGTTAGACAGTGATCCAAAGCTGACCTGTTGCTTGCAAATAAAAATAAGACTCAACCCAGTCTTTCTGTTTATTTTCAGAACTGAGTGAAAGCTTATGTGGTGGTAATTATTAGGGTCAATTTCAATTTGTTTCCTTATTAACCATTAAATAAGATTTTTAAAAACTTGTCAGCCCCAATTTGCCTTCAGAACCTCATGTGAAATGTCTTCTGGACCTGGCACTTTCCTAGGATCCAACGTGATAAAGTCTTGGACTTTTGATTGGGTTTCTTTAGACCAATCAGGAACGTGTGGCTTGAACAAGGGAATAGAATGGTAGAAAAATGCAAGGGGTCACTGTATTTACATTGAAAATATACATCCATATATTGGGTGGTATACATCAGCACAGCTGGCCCTCCTATCTGTGAGAAAACACTAGTTGCCAGACAGTTCTACTAGAATGGAAGAACTGAAGCAGTAATTAGCAATTACTGTATAAAGTTTCCCTTTCTGGCTCTTGCTTCCTATAGAACCCATAGGCTTTATAGCCTCTTCTTGGTGTGGTAGTAAACCAGAGGTAATAATAGATCATTATTCCTCTTGTAGATACTATAAATATATCTCAGTTGCTTCCACAGATGGAAACAATTAGTGTGATGAGTGTTTATCAGAATGTCTGGACATTGAACCATACCCAGTGACTGTTGTTAAGGTTAAGACAAAGTTTTCAAAGCTCTCCTATCTGGACTGAGAATTTGTATACAGTGTTTTGATAATGTTGAAAACACTCTTCTGATTTAACAGAAAAGTCTTCTTCAATTTTGCTTGACCATCTAATCCTGCCACCATTAATAATAATAAACATGTGCTGTCAAGTGAGGTTTTTTTCAAAGATTTTCCAGCTACAGAGTACTCAGAAGTGGTTTACCATTTCCTTCTTCTGGAGGCACTCTGGGGCTGTACAGGTTGCCCAAGCCTGCAAAGGTTGGCTCTACTTGCAGGAGGCACAGTGGGGAATTGAACGCTCAACCTCTGGCTCCACATCCAGATACCTAAACCACAGAGCTGATATAGCTAAACTAGTATAATCAAAGAAATCTTTACTTTAGAAGTAAAATTTGTGAGATAATGCTAGAGCAGCAGCAAAGCACGTGGTCATTGTTACCTTGGTTATCAATTACTAAACTTACTACCTGAGCCTGGAGAAGTTCTGAGATAAGGATATAACCAGATATACATGGGAGCCATTAATGGAATTAGACAAACATTCACTACTCTGGTCTTTAAAACTCAAGACTTTGTCTATATCTAACCCTGGGTTGATGTGAGAACTGCACCACATTAATCCTGATGCATCAATAGAGTTATCCTTATAATTTCTTGTTGTTAATGCATTAAATCATGACTATCGCCCAGAGTTCAGAGTCCTGGAAGTATGGTATCATTCGGGCTTATCCATTTTTGCCAGAGCCCTTTTAGGATGTCTCCTTAGGTTTCAGACTCCGCTGTCAAACAAGGAGGGCCTTTGACTGTGTGCAAACAGGGATAATACATGAACAGATGAAGCTGTGACACCCTTCAAATGTGCCAGGCCCCCCCAGGAGGCCATGTGGCACCAGTTGAGAATGGCTGCTCAAGACAATTCATTGGCTGAAATCCAGTAGTAAGTTGCAACCTGAGCATACTCATTGAATCAGTGAGGATATGGTGAGTCAGTTCTGTTGTGAGTTCCATTTGTTCATTGGGGCTATAAAGTAACAGTTATAACTTACTACTGAATTTGGAGCATTGTTTAAGAATTCCACAGCTGAGGTCAGATTGAAGTGAGAACATTCTCATGGATTCCCTGACCAAATTTAGTGTCGTTATGGGTTACTCTAATATTCATTAATAGTGGTCATCTTTTTACTAGTTTCAACCCTATTTGTTTTGGATAGAGTGAATAGTAGTATGATACATGAGCTTTGGCAAATTCTGCTGGTGTAGGAACATTCTTGGGAGTTGTGCCCAGGAGATGATGGAGATTTTTTTTCCTATGCAGTTCTGGAAGGAAACTGGGACTTTGTAAATGGGAAAAATTGATTTAATGTATCTCCAAATGGGATGCACTGTTCGTGCAGTTGTATCGTTTATGTTGTTTTTTGTTTTGAATCTATTAAGTTTTTTCTTAGGTTTGTTTGCATTGTTAGTTTTTTTTGTATTGTTTGCATTTTTTCTGGTTTAAATAAAAATTAAGTTTCTTAAAAGGGAGAAATATTTAAATAAATAAATCGAAGTGGTTTGCCGTTGCTTTCTCCTGCACAGTACTAACAATAGCTATCTTGCTTGTTACTGCTATTGCTTGTCAAAGATCCTCTAATACTGACACCTTCCACTGCTGCTGCTGTGCATATTTTTTTTCAAGTTGTGTTACAGTAGTATGGATCCTCAAGACTGCTGAACTAGATTTATCAAATTTCACCCTGAATTTTGGTGTGTGAGTGTTTTAGTTCTTTTTATTCCATAAAATAAATGGCAGTTTTACAGTGTCAGTTGGTTCCAATTATCAAATTATCCACTGGCTTCTCAAATATTCCATTATTATTATTTATAGAAAGCAATGAGAGGTTGACAGTCCACTTAGTGTTGCGAAAGTATGATGTTGCAGTTGCTGTGGTGTTGCATTAGGACTCGAGAGATCCAGGTTCACATGCCTTCTGATCTATGAAGCTCACTAGGCGACTATTCATTATTTCCCCCAGCCCTCATCTACTTCACAGGTTCTATTGAGCAAAGTAGAGAAAAGAACTGTATCTTCTGCCTTGGGGGGGGGAGTGGGGAAAGAATAAAGTAAGTAAAAGCATGAAAGAGATTTTTCTACTTCTTTCTGCTAAGGCTGTAGTAATCAAACTTAATGGCAAATTAATATCACCATAACTGTTAAAAAATGGCCTTCAATTTTCAGCGAACTGGAGAAGTTACATACATTGACTGAAATCCTATAGTTTAGCGGAATAAGTTATACGAGAGTAAGCCCACTAAATCGTTATGGAGGAGTTGACTCATCAAACCCCTACTGATTCAATGAACTTATTCTAATGTAACTTACTATGCTAAGCAACAGGATTTCAGCCATTATGTTGTATGTTTAAACCTCTCTAGTTGTAGCATAGACAAGCCAGATTGCTGGGTTTGGGCATTACAGTAAACAATTGCTGTAAGATTCATGGTTTTTTGCTTAGCTGGTCCTGCCTGGAGGAATGGTACCTGATGTTGTATATTGTGAGGTTTTAAAATTATATAAACCTCAACCTTAATTATTTTAAAACCTCACAACATGCAACATCAGGTACCATGATAAGCCATCTAAAGAACTCTTTATATATAAAAGAATATATATATGGCTTATCATGGTACCTGATGTTGCATGTTGTGAGGTTTTAAAATAATTAAAGTTGAGGTTTATATAATTTTAAAACCTCACAACAGGTTATCTACACAGCAGATGAGCCAGATCTATTTCTAATCAGAACACAAACTTACCCTCCTAATATTTTTGAACATTAATTTCTATATATTGACATCCATGCTTTTGTGTTTAGCCCTTATGTTGTCAAGTACTACGGCAGCTATTTTAAGAACACAGACTTGTGGATTGTTATGGAGTACTGTGGAGCTGGTTCGGTGTCAGATATCATTAGATTACGGAACAAGACGGTAAGGTTTTTAAAAAAAATAAACTACTTTTCATGTTATCTGGAAGTAGAGTCATGGCAATTGGACTTCTTTCTTATTAGGTTGAAACATTTCGCTACTCATCCAAGTAGCTTCTGCACTCTGAGGAGAGTTGGTAGGAGATATGTGGGCCTTGAGATATTGTGTTTCCCCGAAAATAAAACAGTCTTATATTAATTTTTGCTGCAAAAATGCATTAGGGCTTATTTTCAGGGAATGTTTTATTTTTTCATGTATAACAATCTACATTTATTCAAATACAGTCATGTCATCCTGAAAAATCATACTAGGGCTTATTAACAGGTTAGGTCTTATTTTTAGGGAAACAGGATAGCTTCAGTCCAAGCAATTTAGGTCTTTATAGTTTAGAACCAGCACTTTGAATTGTGTCTGGAAATTGATTGACCGCCATTACAGTTGTAACAAGGGGGTTATGTGATATCTGTAAACATCCCCAGTCAGCAATCTGCTGCATTTTGGACCTGACACTTTCCAAAGGCTGCCCTACATAGAGTACATTATAGTAATACAGCTGGGATGTAACATACAGTGGGGTCTTGACTTGAGAACTTAATCCGTATTGGAAGGCGGTTCTCAAGTCAAAAAGTCTGTAAGTCAAGCCGTATGTAAGTCAAGGGCCCACTGTAAGTCATGTGTTACCATGGCCAGATCCGATCTCTCCAGAAAGGAATGCATCTGATGCACTAGTTTTAATGGTGCAAATGGACCCCTTACAACCATTGAAACCTGGGCATCCAGACTCAGAGATGAATCCAGGAGCACCCCCAAGCTGCACACCTGTGTTTTAAGAGTGAGTGTACCCAGCACAGGCTGTATCTCTGTTCCTTGACCTGCCTTTCAACTGACCAGGATCACCTCTGTCTTGTCTGGATTAAGTTTCAGTTTGTTCATCCTCATCTAATCCATTACTGATACCAGACACTGATCTAGAGCTAAAACAGCTTCCTCGGATTTCCAACCTACTTAAATGTAAGAATTGTCTTTCTTAACTGAGTCCTAATTAGAAATTTCTCAAGTGCCATGATTCCTTCACAGTCATAATGTGCAGTAAAATAATTAGAATGTGCTCTAAAGGTAGAGGTGGTCTTCTCGTGTGAATGCAGCCATGAGCTCCAGCTGGTCTTTCTGCATCTTGCATCCATGAGGTATTCACAGATCCAGGAACATCGCATTAACATTTATATGATATTCTGCCTGTTTCTGGTTGAAGCATCCTAAGGTTTATGGAAGATGTCCAGAGAACTTGAGCTCTTAAAGTAACATAATGCATTTTGAAATAAAATAACGTGTTTGAAAATCATGACTTCCTACTTGGTATTGCAGTGACACCTGAAATTTTTAGATTGTACTGGGACACTGCTTTTATTTATATGCCACTCCATAATGCATTTTCTAGTCACCATAGAATATAGATAAAAACATTAGAAACATGCAGTAAAGCCATAAAATAAGTATATAAAATCCACAGGACATATAAACCCTAATTTAAAACAGGTACAGATTAGTAACCTTGGCAGGAAAAGGCCATAGCCTAGCACTAAAATGATGCCAAGTTATTTGTCACTTATCTTAAGAAAATTATGTTAAAGGCCAGGTAGGCAATTCTTCCACTATTGTTGTGAACGGCCTTAAAAATAAAACCAGCACTTAGAATTGTGTGTTTTGAAAATTCTGTGATATACACAGCAAACAAGATAATATATGGCCTGAATAGTCTGTAGCTTAATCCTGTTTTAATGAATTGGAAAGATGAGGAGAACTCTATCTGTAACCAATGGCACATAATCCAGGCTTTGGCTTTGTTTATACTTTTCACATTATTTGTTTAGTCCCTTTGCCCATAATTTGTTTTGTATACATGGAACGTTCTTTGTTTTCAAAGTTTGTTGGCTTCTGTGTGGATCTTGTGCATACATAAGGAGGTCAAGTGATGTGGATTAGATTGCAGGAGTAGGACTTTGAGGCAGTCTTCCTTTCTGTGTAAAACCTTTAAATATATATTTTTCCTATACAGCTATATACAGACCGTAGAGCAATTTGCATAATTTTGTGTTGCAGGTTTTTTAGTCATTCAAATTGTTGATGTCGATGTGTAATCAGTGTGTAAATGTATACACACAAAATTAAAATGGTTTATTATTTACCCTTCTGTATAGCTTACAGAAGATGAAATTGCTACTATTCTTAAGTCAACGCTTAAAGGACTTGAATATTTGCACTTCATGAGAAAAATACATAGAGATATAAAGGCTGGAAACATCCTTTTAAACACTGAAGGGCATGCCAAGTTAGCTGACTTTGGAGTGGCTGGACAGTTAACTGTAAGTATAAAGGATATGCATAAATGGTTGTTGTAGGTTTTTCGGGCAGTCTGGTTGTGTTCTTGAGGTTTTTCTTCCTGACATTTTGCCAGCCTCTGTGGCCAGCATCTATGCATAAAATTCTATTTTAGAAGTGAGTGGAAGCTTTACTGCATGCATTATGAAATAGCTTTCATTGTGCTCCATACTTTGGGGGTGGCATGCTGCATTCACAGAAGCTTTTGTAACATGCTACGGTGGATCTGCATGTATTGAAGCCTCGAGACTGTTATTAGCTATCCCATGATTTTAGTGTGGAAAACTGATTGTACTATTCTCAGATATGGAAGACAAGCTTAGGAGAATGATGACAACTATACAACATCCTCTAGTAGTCAGTGACATAACAAGTCACACACATAGGATAAGTCTTAGCAATGTAACTCTTAGCTACCATTATAAGTAGTATCTCAGAATGAGAAACATACTTGAGGATCATCAGTCAGTGAGGGCTTAGTCAACAGAAGTAAGACACATCCCCAGGATATTCTGTAACTGACAGAAGTTGTGTATTACATGGATAATCCATCTTGAAGAATGTTTTATAGCTATAGATCCAATGTAAATACTGTTTTCAGTATCCACGGGGAGCTTGGAAACAACCCCCAGCAGATATGTGGGGGTCCTACTCTACTCAAAATTTGGTTTGCAGAATATTGCAGAAAAATTATTCATCAATCTAAACACTAGATTTCTTAGTAACTTTTCTTTTATAGATATATTTTAAAACAAAGTTCACTATTGAATTTTAATAAACACATAATGTTAAGTACTGCTGTGTTCATCTTGTTTAGATGTGATATTACAAATGTAGAAGAGGAAGCGAGAGGAAGATATTTTGAGCTATGTTACACTTTTAAATAATGTAATTACAGGATACAATGGCAAAACGCAATACCGTCATAGGCACTCCATTTTGGATGGCTCCAGAGGTAATACAGGAAATTGGTTATAACTGCGTAGCAGACATCTGGTCTCTTGGTATTACTTCAATAGAGATGGCAGAAGGAAAGCCACCATATGCTGATATACATCCTATGAGGGTAAGAACAATGACTTAGAATTTCATATATAATTGTTGTTTGGGGTAACAGAATTAAATAATGGGTTATAGTTTAGGTTTTAATATAGTTTAACACTACAAGAACAAGTCTGGTTTTTTTAAAAAATTGACTCTAAATTTGACTCATGCTTGGCATCAGTAAAATGTGCTAGATGAGGGCAAACAAACTGAAGCTAAATCCAGACAAGACAGAGGTGCTGCTGGTTAGTCAGAAGGTAGATGAGGAAATAGGGATACTACCTGTGCTGGATGGGGTTACACTCCCCCTGAAAACTCAGGTTTGCAGCTTGGGTGTTCTCATGGATTCATCCTTAAGCTTAGATGCCCTGGTCTTGGCTGTGGCCAGGAATGCATTTCCACAGCTAAAGCTGGTGCACCAACTGCGCCCGTTCCTTGAGATGTCAGATCTGACTACAGTGATACATGCCTTAGTTACATCCTGTTTGGATTACTCTAACACACTTTATGTGGGGCTGCCTTTGAAGACGGTTGGAAACTTCAGCTTCTTCAAAACTATGCAGCCAGACTACTGACTGGGGCCAGCTACAGGAAGCATATAACGGACCTGTTACAAGAACTGCACTGGCTACCACTCTGTTTCTGGACCCAATTCAAAGTACTGGTCATTATCTATGAAGCCTTATATAGCTTGGGTCCAGGCTACTTGAATGGCCATATATCCCTATATGCGCCTTCTCAGCGATTAAGATCAGCAGAGGAGACCCTCCTCTCGGTCCCGTTGCAGCTCCCAGGCTATGGAATGCTCTCCCTCAGGAGATCAGGATGGCCCCTACCCTTTTATCCTTTTGAGAAAAGCTAAAGACCCATCTCTTCAGGCAGGCTTTTAACAATTATAACTGTATCCCTGAACCCCATTTCAGCAGAAATTTTAATCTTTTTAATGTCTTAATGTTTTAATCTTTTAATTGCATTTTAAATCATATATTGTTAAATTTATCTTTTAGTATTTAACTTACTGTGTTTTGAAATTATGTGAATTTTAATGTTGGGTCCCTTGTTGGGAGAAACGCGACATATAAATAAAACTAATAAATAAATAAGTAAATAAATAAAATATGTTTCATCCCATTAGTAAAGCTCCAGAGAACGAAATTGGAAGTTTTTATTTCTGTTCTTTATTAACTGCATTTTGTCTAAACCTTAAGAAACTGTTATTAACTATAACTATGTTTCATTGAAACAAGCCATGAAACTCTGGTTTATTAAAAAGGTTTGCTTTCACTAACCATTGTTAAGATTAATCACAGTTTACGTTTTGTGCAAACATTAGATGGTGGTTATTGTAAAATGGAAGCAGAAGCTCTTTATTTGGTTAAGGTAGAAGAAGAGACGTGAGGTGGAGGCATTCAAGATAAAGATACTTAGTTTGGTTTTGGATGTATACCTTAATGTTGTCTGAATGTGCCAATGAAGCTGAGAAAATGCCAGCAGGAGAGTAAAGTCCATTATAAGTCTGGATTCCTACCAAGGTCATCCGAGGCAGAATGGTCAGAATTGACACCACATTAAAATGTATCCACCCCCTTGAGGATTAATGATCATATCAGCAGAATAGAATGGGCATTTCCTATAGGGATGGATGGTGAAACTCCTGGAGGACAGCTACTGGGCAGCAGCAGTAGTGAAAGGTGACACTGGCAGAGGATCTTTCATAGGCAAAAGCAGATAATATGAGAGCAGATTTTTATTAGTACTGCATAGAAGAAGGCAATGATAAACCACTTCTGAATAATTTTTTACCTTGAAAATGCTATGATGAGCAAATATAGTGCTGGATAGTAAGACTCCCAGTTTTGAAGACACTCAGTTAGTTACTGGAGGAGAGCAGAGGATGAGCATGAATAGCTCAGTCTCTTATGAAACAATTAGATTAAAGCTGAAAGGATGTCTAGTGGCTGATGCACACACAGGTGAAAGGAAAGTACAGTGCTGCACAACACATACAACTGGAATGTGAGCAGTATAAATCAAGGGAAACTAAAAGCAAGAAGTAGAATGTTTTAATATTGCAGTACTTAGTGTGAGCAAACTAAAGAGTGGAAGAACATGTTTTCATTCAGATAATTATGAAGTGTTTTGCTCTGGAAATGACAAACCCAGAAGAAACACAGTGGCAAAATGTGGCGCACACAATTGGGGCTGTAATACACAATTTGACCAAATAAAATCAGTCAGACTTCCTGGAAAATCAATCAACATAACCATCATTCAGATCTATGCTTCTGCTACTGAAGAAGAAATTGAAAGCCTTTATCTAAGCATCCAGAAGGAAATAACACCAAAACAAGATGTGCTGATAATCATGTTTGATTGGAACACAAAAGTAGGCAACAAAACAGAACCAAACTTTGTTAGAAAATTTGGTCTGAGGATCATAAACAAAGCAGGAGAACAACTCAAAATTTTGTGAAGACAGCAGTTTGTTTATTACAAATGCATGCTTCAGATAAATAAGTAGACAGTTGTATATGGGTTTGACACTAGGTGGCTAATATAGAAATCAATTAGACTACATCATTGGAAATAATAGATAAACTGTATCACCAAAATGCAACTGGGAGCCGATTATGCCAGTTAACCCAAACTATGAATAACAAAATTAGAGTAAAGCTGAAAAACAGCACAATTTTAGAAAATGGCATGAAAGCTGCTATCAAAGCACTTGGGATAAATAAATCACCAGGAATAGATGGGATACCAATAGAAATATTCCAAGCTACAGAGAGCTGATCGTAAAAATCGTAATAAAGATAGGCCAACAAATATGGAAAACATAACAGTGGTTCACAGACTGGAAAAGTTCCATATATATTCCAATCCCCAAGAAAGGAGATGCCAAAAAGTGAAATATAAAACCATTGCATTAATTTTTCACACAAGAATGCGATGCTCAAGGTGTCGTAACAAAGACTTCTATCCTGTGTAGAGTGAGAAATGCCCAATATTCCAGGTGGTTTCCAAAAAGGAAAAGGCACTAGAACTCATATTTCAAACATACCTTGGCTGTTGGAGCACACCAAAGAATTCACTCTGTACTTTATATGCTGCCTTTGACTATATAGATAATGAGAAGTGATATGATTGTTCTAAAATAGACTGGTGTGCATCAACACTCGCTTGTCCTGATCTGTAACCTATGTTGTGCACAGGAAATTCGTGTTAGGAATACAAAGGAATAGAATAGTTTTATATAGGCAAAAGTATCAAACAAGGGTGTATTTGACTTATTCTTTGTTCATTCTGTATGTGGACCATATCATATAGAAAACTGGATTAGAATCAGTTAAAGGAGTGAAAATTGGTAGAAGAAATCTCAGTAATTTAAGATAGGTGGATGATACTGTATTACTGGCAGAAAGCAGCAATGATTTGAAACAACTCCTGCTGAAGATGGAAAAAATGAAGTGCAAAAGTGGGAGTGCAGTTGAAGAATGTTAAGAAGACAAAAATTGTTACTGCAGAAAAACTGTGTCACTTTAAGGTGGACTATGTTGAAACTGAAATTATTAAAGATTTTTATACAGTGGTGCCTCGCTTAACGGCGATAATCCGTTCCAGGAAAATCACTGTTAAGCGAAAACTTCGTAAAGCGAAAATAAAAAGCCCATTGAAATGCATTGAAAACCATTCAATGCGTTCCAGTGGGCTAAAAACTCACAGTGCAGCAAAGATCCTCCATACGGCGGCGATTTTCGGTGCCTGTATAGCGAGGAATCCGTCCCTAAACACAGCGGGGAGCCATTTTAATCACCCGGTGGCCATTTTGAAGCTGCCGATCAGCTGTTAAAAAAACATCGTTTTGCGAAGAATTGATTCCCGAAGCAGGGAACCGATCATCGCAAAGTGAAAAAAACCCTATTTAGACCATCGTTTTGCGATTGCAAAAGCGACTGCAGACACGTCGTCGTGAAGCGGATTCGCCGTAATGTGGGGTAATCGTAAAGTGGGGCACGACTGTATGTTGGTTCAGTTATCAATCTGAATGGAGAGTGCAGTTAAGAAACCAGAAAACAGATTCAGAAGGACAACTATGAAATAAGAAAGAACCAGTAGAAGAACATATCCCCTGAGAAAAAGGCCAAGATCACTAATATTTATTGTATAATTACAATGTTTGGATGTGAAAGCTGGACAGTTTAAAATACAAACAAACAACTGACAGGAAAAAAAAACTTGAATCATATCAACTATGCTGCTGGATGAGAATTTTTCAGATACCACAAACAAGTAGGCCCTAGACCAAATCAAGCCTGAATCCTTTCTAGAAGCAAAAATGGCAAAATTGAAGCTTGTGTCGTGTGGGCATACAGTGAGATGACAAAACTCACTCAAGGGGGCAGTGCTAGGAAAAGTTGAAGGCAGAAAGGAAAGAGGAGACCCGCTATTAGATGAATTGACTTCATAAAGAAAGCCATGACATTGAGTTTTTAAGAGCTGACCGATCATGTTGAGTACAGGATATTTTGGAGGTCACTTGTTCATAGGGTTAAATGTCTGAGGCAACTTGACAATATACAACAACAACAATAACAACAATAACAATTTCTTGATATTCACCTGTTAGAACTGAAATTTAGTGCTAAATCATTATTGGCAAAATGTAAATCTGAACGTTGTCATCGAAGCTACCAACATGACCCAACTCCAGGAGGCAGTGGAAGACAGGAGAGCCTGGTGTGCTCTGGTCCATGGGGTCATGAAGAGTCGGACACAACTTAACGACTAAACAACAACACCAACAAAAATCTGAAAGTGGAAACAAGATATTATCTTTCTCTCTGGGTTCCGTCTCAGTTCCTGAGGTTGGCTATCATTGTGGTATCTCTCCACCTTTCTTTTGCTGTGTAGATTAGTTGTTTTTTATTGAGGTCCAGCCAGTCTCTGATGTTATTCATCAAAGAAATCCATCTTCTATCTCTTCCGCATTTACCATGATCTCCCTTTAAATGATGTATTGCA